CTGTCGCTGCAGCACAGCTCTTCACCAGGCCATGGTTCTACCGCGTATGGGTAGTGCAAGAAGTTGCTGCAGGCCAAGAAGTTATTGTGTTCATTGGCACATTCAAGGTCCCATTCAGTTACCTCGGGCTCGGCGGTACGTGGCTGCGAGAGCTGCAGTTTGCGGAAAAGGGAAGAGTCGAAGTAGCAATGGGCTCGCGCAACGCGAGCATCATGTGGCAGAAGAGATTTGAGCAGCGCACCAGTCCGGCGGATCTTCTGGACGACGGGCGAGATCTTCTGGCTACTGATGCGAGGGACAAGGTGTATGGTTTGCTAGGCTTTCCGGCACTGAGAAATGCGTTGGGCGGTCTTGAGCCAGACTACACTCAGTCTGTCGAACTCGTGTATACACAAACAGCTATAGCCATTATAAAGAGCACAGGGAATCTGGATGTCCTATCCTTTGCTGAAGGACCGCCACGAACGCACGATTCTTGGCCCTCGCCCCAAGACGATGAGCTGGGCTGGCCGGAGACGCGGACTTGGGTCGCGCGCTGGGATCAAGAAACTCTCTTCCCTACATCAGCGATGTGTGCGCTTCCAACTAACTTGGCTACAAAAGGCCCACCAGCTGTAGTTGTCGCTGTGGATACTGGCACGGGTGTACTCACGCTACGTGGGTTTCTGGTCGACGAGATCGTGTATGTTGCGCCGTATGTACATTGGCCTGGAGGATCAGATACGGAGTCTCTACCGACGAATCCGGAAGCTATTATCGAACTGTACGATGCGATGGTGCACCACGGCAAGGCTGCTTCGGAGCGCGAGACATTGTGTATGCTGGCGCAGATCCTGACTGGAGGGCTTACAGCGTCATATGAGTCCGCTGAAGTCGACGAACAATCCCATCTCGCGAGTTTCATCTCTTTCATCCTTGGAGCACTAGATCCAGCTAAAACAACACACAAGAGACGGGAGAGTTTAAAATCTTTCCTCGCCATACTACAGCAGCAAGGAGAACAGCTACCGCCAGCAGATCCAGCTAAGTACCAAATGGCAATGATACTTATGCTCTCTAATCGCCGCGTTTTCATAACGGCTCAAGGACACGTCGGCTTGGGCCACTCCCGCGTGTTGATGGGCGACGCGGTAGTCTGGCTGTATGGAGGGAAAATGCCTTTTGTGCTTCGCCAGAGGATAGGGCGTAGCCACTGGGGCTTTGTTGGCGAGTGTTTCTTGTATAATGGCGACGAGAGAAAGAGTTGGAAATATGTTAGTAGTGACGGTTTGTTGGATAGGGAGTTTGAGCTTATGTGATAGCAAGTCCATAGAAATGAAAATGAGAGAAGGGGTAACGTTCAATAATAAGCAGTGTTCTATGATGCTAAGATATATAAACAAGTAGCACCTTATAAGTGTACGATAGATTAACTATAAGTATAAGGTATGTAGTTACAAATTTGATTAGATTCTAAAGAGGCTAGCTATGAGAGAGTTAATAGTAGCAGCGGTAGATTACTTCTAAATGCTAGAATACCTAGAGCAAGCCTTAGGTATTATCTTGCTTATGCTTAAAATAAGCTTTTTAACTTAATGTAGAAGAACTTTGTTCTTAACACTATAAGGTAAACTTTGTATATAGATAAGCGAACTAGTTAATAAATAGTTTATATGTAGAGTAGAATGAATAGCAGATAAAGAGGCTATAAGAGATAGAGCAAAATTAGAGCTATATAGTAGAGAGAGTAAACTAGCTAGTAGAGCATATAAGAGACTACGCTTAGAGAGCTATTGTCTAGATATACTAGAGATTATATTTAATAAAGAATAGAGCTATAGACTGCAAGAACGCTAAGGTTAATTAGTAGTAGCTTAGATTAATCCTTAGCTTAAATTCAGAGGTTTAGCCTAAGTATTGTAGTAGAGTATCGTGCATTACTACTACGCGTCGTAAATATGCACCCCAATTGGCACTCTGCAGGATATAGGAAAGCTGTCACCTCGCATGGTCTCCTACGAATGAGTTCGCGTGACGTTTTAGTGCTCAATGCCCTGATCCTCGCCAGGCATCCAACAGCTGTTGCCTGCTTGATGTGGGCTCTGCATGTACCATACTAGCCTCCCATCACATCACAGCTTTTTCTCTTCATAAATTTCAATTGTAGGCATTTTACTCGCTTGAAATCTCCCTCAATATCTTGCGTTCGTCAATTGAGGCACCACCATGGCAACACTGCTCTCCTTGTCCACCGAGCTTGAATTGGATGTCATCGAGCACCTCGATACACCATTCAACAACTCATTCTTCTCTATTTCTCGGGATCTCCTGAGCTTGAGTCAAGTATGCAAGGAGTTTTGAAGTTTGAGTATTCCCTACTTGTTCAAAGAGGACAAGAGTGGTTCTAATGTCCTCATTATCCTCAACAGCGACCATGCACAGCACGTACGGACTCTACACTATGTCGGAGTAATGGCCATGCCCGGATTAAATGAGGTTGGAGATAACGAATCTACATCAGAACTGGGGTCGGATCTACCACAACCTGTGTGAGAAGTTCTCTCAAATCTCACAAAGCTGCCAAATCTGGAACACGTCATCGTGCAATTCGCGTGGACAAAGTATCCATCAACGGATGAAGGAATGCACCGAGATGAGTACAATTCGACAGAGGAGCTTCAAGGTCAGGGAACAGATGTTGAGTTCCGGTCTTTGATGTTGCAGTCCTACGAAGCGTTGGCACGTAATCCGCCATCTTACATCAAAAGTCTGGAGCCAAGGAATGTACTGGCGCACACATGCTCTGCGTGGAATACGGCAGAATTCCAGGAATCGCTGAAAGAACTTTCTTCCTTTTCAATCTCTCTTCAAGGAGGTGACAATGGAGCTGGCGGGAGTATCAACACAACACCCGGATACTTCGAATTCATCCCGGAGCTAGATTTTTACTTCTTCGAACATCTGAAAATTATGACGCATTTCAGTTCCGCCACCACAGACGATGGCCCGCCAGCGATCCAAGAAGATACCAGGATCAGCGCGCTGCGACTCTGCGAGATGCATATGCCGCAATTACGAAGATTGGAATTGGAGAGTGTTTTTATTAGCCAGTCACTTTCTGCATTCATCCCCGCTCATGGCGACACCCTCGAGTCTTTGTAGCTCAGTTATTGCTACTCCGGACCTGGATGGAACACGGGGCGTAACATCGCTTGGGCGGATTTCTTCATCAGCATCGCCTCAGACCGAATGATGTCGCTCAAGGTCTTCGATCTTGCCACCTCGCATGCGGAGTCAATGCGGCCTGGACCTTTGCAAAGTTTTCATCCTGAATTCGCGCCGCGATTTCAGACGTTGCGTGATCGATATCCAGGAAGGCGTATGTTTGATTACATGTACGTTGGGGCAGATTACGGAAGGGTGTACGATGACATGAAGAAGATTTTGAGCCGCTTTGAAAACGGTGGTGATTACAAGGCATGGGAGCAAGTATGGAGTCAGGGAGAATGTGTGAGACGGCCATGGAATGTTCAAAACTGAAAATTTCTGAAGGCAAAAGTTGCTGCTTAACTGCTTATGTGGTCACGGGTTTAAAGGTGTTTTGCAGCAATGATTTTTGAGAAAGTGACATGCATCGCATTGTTGATGCTGCGCTGAAGCCTTACAGGACATTTTGCGTCTACTACTGTTGATGATCGCAATCCTTCTCTAGATGACTATATGCGCACTCAAGCGTATATCGGTCCGGATCCGTCGACTCTATACAAAAGGAACAAGGAACAGGGTACTTGAGAGGCACCGTGGTCTCTGCCAGTTTTCCAGGCCCACACACAGCCTGCGCCTGTCGTGTAGACTCCAGCTCGGCCTTTGCTGCATCCTTGTAGTGTTCAAGGCACTGCCATGTTCGATGGCTATGCCCCAAACCCTTCTCCCGAGTTGGATGGTCTAAACAAGTACGGCAAAATACCGATTCCGGGCAATGTTGCGCAAAATGCTTGTTGCTAGTACAGTTTCTACAAAAGACTCGGGTCCCGAATTGAGGAAATTCGTTGAATATGTTCTCAGAATTGCGGTGCAGGTATCGCTTCAATTCCTTGTAGTAAGCCGAGTGGCCAGCCATGGGAGACTGGAAAGCCATGAGCACGGCTATGATCATCGTGCACACTGTGTCATTCCCGGCGTTGTGAAGGAACTCCTCGTCGATGTCGTATCGGCAAAGCAGATCGCGTAGACTGATCTTCCATTTTCCATTTACATGTCCGGACTCGGCAGCAAGGACCTGAGTATCGATCGTAGCCACGACCACATTCAAGGCATGAATATCAAAGTCGAAGCGGTCCTTGATGATCTCGATATCGTTGTCGACTGCATGTCCAACAAAGACGATTGGCCGAGGTTGTCCGTTTGCATCGTATTTAAGAAAGGCTTGACGGAGCAGCGTTTGCGCTTCCTTCACCGAGACAAATGTTGTCGTACCGAATTGAAATTTATCCGGATAGCCAGGACAGAGCTCAGAGTTGACCATGTGAATGTTGTCCTTGATGCAGACATGGTAGTTGATGATGTAGCTGATGATATCCCATGGCGCGCGCCGCTTTCCAGCCAATGCTTTTTCGACAATTTCTGGTGCGATAATGGAAACCCCGAGCTCAGTGATGTAAGATGAATCGTACTCGTACCATTCTGCATCAAGGCCAACGATCACAGCATCGAGAAGCGCCGCCTCCGCGGCGGTCGATGCAAATGGCTGTTGTTGTATACGAAGACAGTGAGCCAAGATACTGGACTGCGTCATTCCCCGTGCTTTAGCCGTGTCTAGTTGGGCTTTGATGCCTTGAGGAACCATCTGAGTGGTCGCCGTGAAAACTTTGGCCAGCGGTGACAGTGTTGGATAGACCATGCTGAGAATGAGCGCGTTGGTGGAGCCAACTATGAGTACAAGTCCGCGTATGCGAGGTATAACAACGTTCAATTGGTTGTGTGAGGGTGTACGATCAGTGAGCTTGAGTAACGTAGAGATGAGTGAGAAGCTTTTGATAGTCGGTGTTGTCCATTGTAAGCTACCAGCGTTTCTACACAGTGGCTCCGCGGGTGAATCACACAATGAATGCAGGCTTGGGGCGAGTGAATCTTGAGACTATGTGCAAGCACGACACACGAGTGTATCCCAAGATGTGAGTGTTTCGAATAAGAGTCACGAGCTTTCTTGTGTTACAGCTATTTGACCTTGGGAGCAACTCAAGATAGAGACAGAAGAGTAAATCTTAGCAGACAAACCGCTGGCTGAAGTAGCGTCATTCTTCGGAAAATCGAGTTCCTTGTTCTTCAAAAAGTACTAGACTCGATTATAATTCGTCTACGTGATCCCTAGCAAGCATCGGGCTGATACATTGTTGGACAAGACTTAGATAAATGAATGTAAGATGAGCCGATTTATTCATGAGATCTTTCCTCTCCTTATATCACGGCTGGTTTGCTATGTAGCAAGAGGCTTGCTTATAGCAAGTGTCTGATCATCTAATACAACTATCATGTTTCGGAAAGGCTTACACACACAGTGACACACTGCTAGATCGAAGCCTACTTCACTCCATCACTGGGCACTAAAGCTCCATGTACTGTTGTATTGCCATCTCCTAATAGCACAAATACCCAGGGAGCGACCCGCAGTCGGTGAGGGAATGATAGATTTCAGCATCTAGCTAGCTTTTCGATAGGTGTCGGTGAAGTCCTAAGCCCTTAGGGTGATCTAATCTAATATACTGGCTGCTTACTTCATCATCCGATCACGTGCGCAACTACTACACCACAGTACAGTCCACCTGCCTTAATCAATGCCGTCTAATCAAGACAGCTAATCCTTCTTTGAACTCGCCTAGCACATTTACGAACAGCGACCCATATATCTAGCATAGTTGAAAGATTAGTTAGATGTAATGAAATTCTATTGAACATCGCGGAACGGGAAATGAGCTATCAAATCCTACGGCGCTTTACTCAAAGTCGTAGTAGTTTGTCTCGTATTACCTGCGATAAGGCCACTATTCCTCGTTGGTGGAATGTTTTGCGCCGTTCAAGGGCATATGATTGCCGTCGCCATGCCCAAGTCTCCCTACGCCGAAATTGCGGCTTCGGTTGGTTTCAACGTTTTGGTTATGAGCATGGCCTGGTCCACCCATGTCAAACGGGCGATCAATTTCCACACGGCCCCGCTTGTAGTAGAAGTCTCTGTTTAACGGGCGGTCGCGATTTAGTATGTTTGTATAACCATCTTGTCGCCTGTCACAGATTGCATTGTCATACCGGGAGCGAAGTGATCGGCCTCGATAATTTCCATAGTTCTCGTCCTCTCGTGCTAGAGTCTCAAGTCAGTCTCTGGTCGCCGCGAACTGGGACCATCTTTGGCGAAAGCAATCACGGGGATAAAACCAGCTTTACTGACGATGCGAGCGCTCGATCAAGTGCGGTTAGAATTGCGGAAGTTGGACGCCTGCTTTCCGCGCATCGAGCTGCGACAATCTCAGAGGATTTGTCAGTGGCTACAGGCAAGGATGACATCAGGTTTAGGAGTAAGCGCAGTCATTGTAGAGACTATCAGGGGGATAGCGGATAGCGCGCAGCCACTATCAAAGAGGAGTCAATTTGGATATATAAGGACCATCGAGAGAGTCGATACTCATGGTAATTCACTGTCGACTTCCAAACATCCTGAACAATAGTGAAATAGATCGTAGAAGTCTGCACGCTTTATGACATCGAGCAATGACTACCTAGAGAATCCTTAGTTCTGAGCAAATTGACCCATCTCATCCAATCCACTCTTCGCCACCTCCCACTCCTTCTCGATGATCGCTTTCTTTGCCACACTCCTCGGCGTAACAACAGCATCGAATGGCTTCGGAATTGCAACGAAGCCTGGTATAAAGTCATCTTGGACGGGTATACTCTCCTTTCCATCAGCGCCAATCTTCCGATTGACATCAAACGACCAAAAGATGCGCGATATCCCCAGCAGCATACTTCGATCCGCAACATTCATGCCCGGACAAATGCGCCGGCCCGCGCCGAAAGCAAAATGATCGCGTCGCGAGACATCGATACTGTTCGCTGACTCCGTCGAAGACGAAGTGTCGCCGAGAAAGCGTTCTGGATTGAACGCCGTAGGATCAGGGTAGCGTCGAGGATCGCGATGAATAGTCCATGTGTTGAGTAAAATGATAGCGCCTTTGGGGATGCGATAGCCCATGTACGTGTCTTCCTCACATGTCGCATGCGGGAATGCACCGAGAATAGCTGTCGGTAGCCAGCGAAGACATTCTTTCACGCACGCGCGCACGTATGGAAGGCGTGTCATGTCATCGAGAGTAGGCATGCGGTCGTGTCCGATGACGGCGTCGATTTCCGCTTGGCCTTTTGCCTGGACGTGTGGGTAGAGAAGAAGTGCTTGCATGAAAGCATAGAGTTGGGTGGATGTTGTGTCGCTGCCTGCTTCCCATAGTTGCGCGGGGATATGCGAGGTGTATTCATCTGAGTAACCTTCTTTGGCTTGCATGGAGACGACTTCGTTCAAGACGCATGGACGGTATTTTGAATCACTATCCTGGATCTTGGCTTTCACATCACGGTACATCTCTGTGTACATCTTGATCTCTCGATCATAGTGTTGAGTCGCTTGACGTTTCGACGGGAGGAGCCAGGTTGGTAAGTAGCGAAGGATGGGATAGAAGTCTGCCAGGGCGGCACCACCAGTGGAGTTCAGATGAACGTACTCATCCAAGTTCTCAAAAAGCACTTGAAGTTGTTTGTCCTGAAAGGTTGGCCATCGGAAGCTTATAGAATGAGTAAAATGAGTATTTGACAAACGGTGGAAGTATATTGACCTACCCATACACAACGCTTGTCACCAGCGACGACGAGTATCGTCGGAAGTGAGTGAGAAGATCTGTAGGATCGTTCAATATATCATAAAGAAGTTGTTTATTTTCGAGCTCTTGATATGGGACGTATTCGGCGGATTTGTTAACATGTAAGGTGTTGTGAAAGAGTTTTCGGATCTATAAGCTGTTAGTATCGGGTCCACTTCACAGCCTCAGGGTTCATCTGATGAGCTTACTGTTCTCCAAGGTGTACCATATGTCTGCTCAACGTTAGTAATTCTTCATGTCTATATCAGAATACCGACAGCATACCATCATGACCATCCTCTTGTCACCACTCATCAGTGTCTGGCCAGTGTACAGATCAGGCCGTCCACTAGTATTTCCGCTCTTCTTATCGAGTAAATCTTTCACAGCCTTGTCGCTGGAAAGGACAATCATAGTTTTTGTGCCCAGCATCAGCGAATACACTGGGCCGAACTCCTTTGCCCATTTCTGGAACTGCAGGTGAGGATCGTCTTTGGCCATCTTCTCGAGTTAATCTCAACATGTGAATTGCCATGAAGGCTATGGTAGTATGCAGACATACAAGATGGATGTTGCCGAAAATAGGCAGTGTGGGCGGACCAGGTGGGAGGTTCTTGGGTCGGTGACCGACACGGACGAGACGAAAGAGCGAGTATGTGATGAGCGCACCTAGCGCGATGTAGTACACAGACTCCATCGCAACAATACGACGTGATGCTTTCTCGATGAACTGAGTTGACAGACGCCAACGCCCCCAGAACGCGGTCTATACTTATACATGTGGCCATAGCCATTGCACTGTGTGATTAGCGCCTTTGTGGTTTTTGTGTCAGCTTCTAGCCGATCTAGTAATCTTGTCAGATTCTTATTCTCAACCGGTAGAACGCCATATGTAGTATCGAATAGCGTTTGTGTTCTTTATCGTCACCTCGGTGTGCAGCGCTGGAAAGGGAGGTGTGCACTGCATGACACACGCTACTAGCAAGGTTAGACTTTCAATTGCAGTGGAATGAACTTTTCGTAAACTCACACATATGAATAAGAAAATCTATAGATCAGTTCCCATATAAGGCATGTACTTCTCGTGTTATCGGATTGATTCCGAACCGCGGATTTCACCAGTCGCTATGCGAAAACTCCAGCAAAAACAATTGTACCACAGATACCGCACCATAAGGCTGAGGAACTTTGCTCCGGGTGGGTCGGAACATGCCATAAACCGAGACCCACATCTGCAGTCGGTATATCGACAGGCATGCACGACTGGACAGCGTGTGCGGGGTAAGCCACGAACGGTAGGACTGCAGCAGTGAGAATGCAAGCCAAGGCCATCTACACGACGCCCAACGGCAGGGATGGTGAAGAAAGGGATTCAACGCGAAACTCGACGTGTGATATTAGCATGGCGCCTAGCTCCGATGGAAAGCTGTCTTTGGCTGAAGGGGGATTCGAAGGGAAAATGTGGCTCGAGAGACTGCTGATTGCTAGCTGACATGGTACTCTTTGATGTTAGATGGGAAATCCTGCCAGTAAAAATCTAGGTTGATCTGCGTGAACTTCCTTCCAAGTCTGATAACATTTTGATATCGAGATCAACATGCAGAGAGCGTGCAAAGAAAATGCTGTTCGCAGCCACTTCGCTGAATAAGAAGCACAACATCGAGTAAACACTTTTTTTTCATGCTAGGACGTACCCTCCGCATACTCATGAATGCGCTGCTGTATAACGATCGCGGAATTCTGCTTAGCTCCCACGCTTTAAGCATTTATCACATGCCAAATCCAGTTCCAAACATCCCTCCTCCACCACCTCCCTGCGGCACTGATCCTCCGAATCCAGCAGCAGCACCACCGCCACCCCGTCCGCGTCCACTGCCGCCTCGCGCACCACGTCCTTTGTGGTTGTTGTTCCTTCCTCTACCGCTGTTCTGGGATGAGATACCATCCTGCCCGCCGCCCTGGAATAGGTTCATGCTGTTTTGCGGACCTTGCCCCTGGCCATTCTGGAAGACATTATGGCCGCTGAAATTGCCTCGTCCACGGCCACCACGGCCACCGCGTCCGCCGTGCTGTTGACCACCACGGTTTCCGAGTGTGAAAGAATCGGCGGCTGGGCTCATCCGCGGGTTGTAGAGTTGCTGCTCTGGACGAGCATTTCTGTTACCGCGGTGTGAGACAGGACCTGTGGGGAACGTCATGCGCGACTCCAGACTTCCACCCTGTGGGCGCGAATTTATGGGCGCATTGGGCGCAAATCGGACGTTGTTGTCGTTTGTCATTCGCGATGCGACAATTCCACCATGCGCACGCGGACCTGTCGGTGGATTTGTGGCGAATTGCACGCCTCGTGTAGGCTGGTCGTTGTTATCAAAAGTGATGCGCGATGCGAATGACGCTCTAGTGAACGGGTTGATCGACTGAGCGGGACCGCTATCCTGAGGTCCATGGGCCTTCTGATGGGTGTAGTTGCATTTCTTCCTGTTGCAATACCCATTGCATTGTTCCATTTGGCATTGCTGGTCAGAAGAACCCTGGATCTGGAAGCCGGCATTGGACATGGTATCTTCCGCCATGGGCATATCACCTCCAGGTGGTGCAAGCAGTCCGTGAGGGCCCTGATGAACAAAGTTGCATGTTCGGTTCTTACAACGTCCGTGTCTCTCCTCGGTCTTGCACTGTTGCGCGCCGCTGCTCGCGGTGGAATTGCCGGGTTCGTGGGTCCCAGCAGGATGCATGAAGCCGCAATCAGCTGTTCTGCAGGTGCCAAATCGGGTTACCCATCTGCACGGGATGACTGCTCGCCAGTCGTCGGTGGTAGCAGCAGTAGTAGCAGGAGGAACTAGCTGTCTATTGTCGACATCTTGCATTGCCTCTACGCCGGTTCCTTCGCCGTGTGCTGCTATGATGATCTCAGGGTCGTGGCTGAATTTGCATGTCTCCCCACGGAAGCATTGACCCCGATCTCTCATGTTATGGCATGCCTTTGGCTGGTACGATAGGCGGGCCGACTGAGCTGGTGGAGCGGCGTTGGCTGAAAAGGAAGGGACGTTCTGAGGAACACACTGGCCCACAGGTGCGTTGGGGAAGCTCGGCTCAACATCGTCCATGCTTGCGCTCATTTCTTGGCCGCCAGTGTTGGTTCCGGGGTTTGAGAAGCTGACTCCTTGATTGGACGACTGCTGAAAGTCCGTGTTCGCGAGCGGCATGGTGGGTGTCGGCTGAATGACTTGGACTGAAGGAACATGTTGCTGTTGAGATGGCATCTCCTGAGCTGAGGCAGCAATCCGATACTGCTGCTGCTGCGGCGGCGGAAAGAATTGCTGGTCGTGGGTAGTCCTGGGTAGTGGGCTTGCAAGAGGACCAGTCGTGGCTACCATGTGCTGGCTGGGGATGGGTAGCATGGTAGGGGCATATCCGCCTTGCATGTATGCTGTCGCTTCCTGCAGAATGCGGTGAACATCGACCACGGCGGTATAAAGGGTGGTCATGTCGGTTTCATGGTAGGGAAAGAGGCCGCACATCAGGCGATGAAGTGCTGATAAGCTCCAGCCCGTCTGCAAAAGCTCTTGCGGTGCACTACGAAGTTCCAAAGACTGCATCCAGGCCTGGGCCCTAACGATCGTTTGTGCCTCGAATTCGAGAGCAAAGTCGTGGTCGTTGGAGAGCTCGTGGGGAAGAAGGCGTGTGATCAGGGCGCCTTGCTCAGCCCAGAGGGTAGTCAAGCCGTCGACGCACTCCTGCACCGAAAAGACCTTGCTGAGTCCTTGGCTTGGGCAATGGTGCCATCTCGCTGTCGGTTGTAGAGCATCTTGATATCCGTGGTGCGCGTTCAAGACGACTGCGAGCAGTCCGTTGCGCCTGATAACTTTCGCCTTCTCCTGCGCGGCAATGCTTGATTGAAGCTTGGCTGCTTCCTGCTCAGTCTTGCGCTCTTCCTTGGCTTTGCTTCTCCGGATGTCCTCGTGGAACTGCTTCTCGATGGGCATCTTCGCGCCTTTGAAGGTCGGAAGCGTGCTTGGCCTTCAAATCAGCGATCTCCTTCTCGTGATCTTCCGTAAGACGAGCGGATTCCTCTTCATGTGCCTTCTTTGTGGCCTCACGCTCAGCCCTCAGCCGCTCGATGGTGATTTGGCTTTCGGGCTTGTCAACCATTGTAACGAGATCATGATTGAGGCGCGCTCTCAGGGCAATGACCTCCATGTCTCTCTCGATCATTTCTTTCTGGTGACGCTTTTCGAGTTCGGCGGAGTGTGTCTCCGAGTCTGACTTCTTCTCTGGCGTGATTTGGGTCTCAGTCTCGACCCTAGGCAGCTCCTCGCTCGCATGCTTTTCAGGCTCGTGGAGGCAAGGCTTCTTGGCTCTCTTGGAGCTCTTTTTGCGCGGCGTGACGGTTTCTTCCCAATCGTCGCCCATGATGTCGTGTTCTAGGGCTGCTCTCTTCCTCTTGACAGTCGTGGTCTGGGTGGATGCAGAAGCATTTTCGGCTTCAGCTGCAGGTTCGGAGGCGATGGCTATGGATGAGCGGGTGACTGGAGGGTCAACACGAGGTGCTGCCTCGGAAGTGTCCGAGTCGGCGTCCGCGTCCAGAAATGGAGAGCGATAGGTGGTGGCGGGGCGCTCCATGATGATTTGTGGATTGTGCAGCTTGTGTGTCTTTGAGGTTTGAAGTGGAAGCCGTGTTTAGTTGGTTGAGTCGCTATAAGTTGGATGGACGAGATTTTGCGTGTATTAGTTAAACAGGGTGTGCTGGGCCATGCAGCTAGTACTATTCACGTAGCCGGTGAGCGGTGATTGCGGTGGTACGAGACAAGTCACAGTAGGTGTACGATATACGAAGCATGTGGAAGTGAAAAGTCATGGTGAAAGGGACAAAGAGCGGGACGTGAAAGGGCATTTTGGACACTATGAGCTGTAAGACAATGGAACAACCGACCCTCGAGCTTTGCTTCCATGACGGCCTTGTCCAGGACAACAAAGAGGGAGATGGCAGAGTGTTTGATCTGACGACGTAGCAGCGCAATCAAGCTGCCGTCAGTCCCAATACCCGTGAGCACCGCGGTGCTGACATGGGTTGCTCACATGACATGCCGAAATACCTCATGCCTTTTGAGGCCTTCAAGACAGCCATGATTGAATGAGCTGGATAGACTTCGTGATGGCAAGAATGAGGTGTGCGGGATGGATGGATCAGCCAGGGTCAGGCTGGGGCCGACGAGATTTGTTTATAGCCAAGGTCCGGGCGCGTTCCCGGGCCGGCAGCGACGCCTGCGGAGAAGGCACGATGCAACAACTCGACCAGCAGCAGCAGTCCTCAGTCGAATGTCCTCAGAGTCGTACGATGCGAAATCCTGTCGCGTGCGTCTCATGCAGGAGCGCGAAGCAGCGATGTCTCAACAACCAGGACGGGCAGCCGTGCGAGCGGTGCAAGTCCAGCGGTAGGGCGGAGGTGTGCGAATACCCTCCACCCGGCACCTCAGCAATCCATCGCAAGCCAAAGCGGCCACGCCCCTCAGAGGATCTCGGAGACACGCCGCCAGGAACCGCAAAGCACGCAGCCAATTATGCGACGCCCACCCAGAGTCTATACCGCCGCAATGACGTGGGCGTGCCGAACGGCTTCAGCGGCGTCCACAGTCCCACGGCTGGCAATGCCGCGCCCTCGCCGAACGCGGCATCGTGGTCGTCGCTGCTTGACGGCCTGGACCCGTTCGAGCTGCTGACGGACGAGGTCAAGAACAGCTATCTGCGCTGCTCGTACAAATGGAGCTTCCACCACACGCCCACGCTGCTGCTGCGCATCCGCGACCGCACGCTCGAGCCATGGATGGCCTGGGCAATACTCGCGCTGGCGATCCGGTATGTCTTCACGATGCATGCATGGCCATGCGCAAGTCGAGTCAAGTCGAGTCAAGTCAAGTCAAGTCAAGTCAAGTCAGTCTAACATGCCGTGTGTAGCTTCGTCAAAGATCCGCCGCCGCCGTTCCAGACGCAGACTGAGGCCAGCAATGCCTACGCCGCCCACGCCCGCCAGATCCTGCAGTCGGACCTCGAGACGCCGAGCATCAGCCGCGTGCAGGCGCTCCTCATGCTAACGGGCCACGACTGGGGCGCTGGAAACGGAAGGCGCGCCTGGATCTATCTCGGCATGGCCATCCGCCTCGTCGAGGTCATGGACCTGACGCAGGAGCTCAAGGTGCCGCGCAACCGCATGCCGACACGCGAGGAGTTCATCGAGGCCGAAGTCCGTCGCCGCACCGCCTGGACATGCTTCCTGATGGACTCGCTGCTGAGCGGGGGGAAGGGCCGGAAGCGCTCGTTGCAGGCAGAAGACATGGCCATCCAGCTGCCGTGCGAGCGCGAGAACTTCGTCTTCGGCGAGCCGACGTGCACCGAGCAGCTCGACAGCAGCGTGCGCATGCCGCCCGTCGCCCTCCCAGTCGGCGAGATCGGCATCATCGGGTACAGCTTGCGAGCGGCCAACGTATGGGGCAAGGTCGCAAAGTGGGCGTGCTCCGAGGACTTCAAGACGGAGCTGCCGTGGTCGCCGACGTCGCTGTTCCAGCAGCTCGTCTACGAGCTCGACCGCTGGAAGAAGTCGCTGCCCCAGCGCCTGCAGTACGACCTCTTCGCCCTCCACAGCCACAATGCCGTCGAGCAGGGGCCAGGCGTACTCGTACATGCACTGCATCCACTTCATGAGCTACATGTTCCTGCACCGCGCCTACCTTGCCCGTACTTGGACCACAGCAGAACGGAGGCAGTGCAGACGAGCGCCCGTACTCGTATGACGAGCACAAGGACATGTGGAAGAGCTGGCAGAAGACGTCGCGGAAAGAGCTGTTCAACGAGTCCTTCATGGTGCTCGAGATGCTGGAAGAGATGCGCACCCTTTGGCGTGTACTTCCTCCGTGGCCTGGTTCCGTGGATCGGCTTCACCATCTATACCGCAGTCGGTGTCATGCTGTACTGCTTCAACTTTCCCAGCCCGGACGACGATCCGCGCTTGCGTGAGAAGGCACGCCGCTGTGTGATCAACGGCTGTACGTTCTTGAAGGAGATGAGGACGCAGTGGCCAATGGCAGAGACTTGGTTCGAGACCATTAAGCGCATGCAGGCCTACTACCGCTCCGCTCTAGGCCAAGACCCTCCGACCTCCCCAGAAGAGCGTCAAGTCTTGCGACGAGCCATGGTCGACTATGGCGCACTGCAGCCCTCACCCGTGCAGAAACAAGAGTCTTCTGGCAGCGTAGACACGTCCGGCGTTGCTACGAGCCTCACCCCGCCCGTGTCAAACCACGAAGTACATTTCCAACCACCTTGCTCCAGCTCTATCAGCTAACATTTCGCCGCAGAAGCCACTCAACATGCAATCACTCAACCACACCTTCGGCGCCACACCCCCTTCAGCTGCCCCAACACCCAATGCGTACCCAGCGTCATACGCATGGAATGCACCGAATGAGATACCCCCACTTGAAGCCGACGAGACTTTCAACCTTGATTCCTTTGATTTAAGCAATGCAGAACTGGAGGAAATGATGATTAATGCGACACAGGATTTCTGGGCGAGTTTTCCGGGCGAGGTTGGTGTTGGATATCAGTGAACAAAATGTCGTTTATGCTTTATAAGAACTCGATAACTTAATGAACTCTCCTACTCCTCGAATCACGCTTTTACTTGCATGTCATGGCATCCTGCGACCTACATATACTGCTATGCTGCAGCCAATGACAAGCCACGACCCACATCCGAGGCCGCGGCCCCAACATTTCTCCAGCTTCTATGCGGCCCCGCTGCACTAGTCCAGAACCTCACGTTGGAGCAGCTGATCGTAACGTCGAATACGATAGGAAGGCTCATATTCACATCGCGGAATTTGTTTTGCCTTGTGTCTACGAACATAAATCCGATACCGGCCGCGGACCATCCACCATTAGTCAGATAGTTGGTATGCTGAAAGTGTGAATCACATCATGCGACTTCTCTACTCTCACAATCAAGAACTAATCGTTTGCGGACAGCATCACATACAAAAATTGACAAATCTGACTTACGCCATCTTGAATAATCTTCCCCTCCCCAACAATGGGCGTCTTCTACGAAACAATCCCCGACTCTCTCAAACCATGGATCCTCGAACAACAAATGCTCTTCGTGTACATTTCCCTCGCAACCCTATCTCCAACATCTAAAAAACTAACACCTGCACCAGTGGAACCGCTCCCCTCTCCCCTCACGGCCACATCAACATCTCCCCCAAAGGCGGCAGCACCTTCGGCATCCCGTCCCCCACCTCTTTCTGGTACATGGACCTCACTGGCTCCGGTGTCGAAACGCACGCGCACCTCCACGAGCCCGGTAACGCGCGCATCGTCATCATGTTCCTTGCCTTCACGGGCCCGCCGCGAATCGTGCGCTTATGGGGAAAGGGCCGGGCTATTGAGAACGGCACATCCGAATACGCTGCTTTTATCGCCGACAATAAAATCGCCACCAAGCCCGGCTGCAGGAGTATCATCATGTTGGACATTGATCAGGTCGCCACGAGCTGCGGGTTCAGCGTGCCGTATTATGATTTCGTGGCGCACAGGCCGATTCTAGATGATTTCTTCGCCAAGAAGCAGGACAAGTTTGAAAAGGGCGATGAGAAAGAAAGCATGGACAGGTATTGGAGTTGGAAGAGTCAATTGAGCATTGATGGGCTGCCGGGCATGAAGAGAGGTTATGAGTTTGCACAGAGGAATGGGGTCAAGCCACTGAAGAAGATGGTTGGGAGGGCGGGGGAAGTGGCGGAGAGGAATGCTGGGATGTATGGGGAGAAGGAGAGAGTGGGCATGGTGCATTTGTTGGTGGTGTTGGTGCTGGGGATGGTTATCGGGGCTGCGGCGGTGTGCAGCTTCTTGAGTCCTGAGGGCTTGAAGGTATTGCAGGCAAAGGGCAGGTTAGTTTGAAGTGCTAAAAGTAGTGTAGAAGAGTTGGCTTATTAAAGATGCTCGAGGCACATGTTCGGTGTTGTGGTGTTTTGTAGCGTTGACTGGATTATTATTGTTCGGATTTGCTGTGATCTTCCAAGTGCCTGATTCCCGAGAAGATTGCTCGGTGGCACGGACTAAGAGGAGAGCACTATTTTATGGTTTAATAACTCTTGTGTTCGATGCATGTGTTGGTAAGTTGACGCTCAACTCCTCGGCCACACCCAAGTGTACAACCTCCATCTCTCGCCATGCGTCAACGGCTCTTCCGCTTTTGAAGGCCCGAGTGGCTGTATGTCGTTGAACGGCGAGTCTTTTATCGGCTCGTCCTGTTCAAATACATTCTTCTGCTTTTTCGGACTAAATCCATGCATTTCATGATCAGACTTGCGCTTATGTTGCTGGATGGGGATGGAACACGAGTGAGATGCGACTGTATGGTCGATGGTAGGCTGAACATAGGTTTGGGAGTCTGAATGCTCCATGCAATTATTTTGATAAGGTTCTGGTGAGGTCATTGCCAACTTTTCCGTGTGGTGTGGGGTCATGCGATGAACTGAATTGTGAGTAGCAAGAACGTGCATGCTGAAGCTTTGCTGCAAGCGCATCTCGCAGTCCTGTGCGTCCATCACAATGATGTCAAACCTCTGCTTGTTGATGTTGCGAACGGACAACGGCCAGATGGTGCACAGTGCCATTGTGACATGTGACGGTTCCGAACAAAGTCTTGTTTCTATGCCAGTCAACTAGCAGGGGCTCCATATCGAACAACGTTTTAAGCCCCGAAAGGTAGGCTCCGGGAAAACACTCCCTACAGGCTGAGCATTCAGCATCGCGATTACATGATGATGTTGTGCGATCCTTCATAGATGCTTCGTCATCGCGTTGAGGAAGACGCGTAATGGAAAGGACGAAATGAAGATAAACAGACGGATGCGGAAAGAATAGCGCGGAGATAACGAGACCGACCCCGCAGCGAACGACGACCCAACGCCCCGCCAAGTCTACCTTGTCTGATGTAGAGCCGCAGTGCAGCCAAAGTTCATGCTTTGACGTGAAGCAAGGAACATGGTGCGGAGGCTAAGCCACCTGGAGGACGAGTCGTGAAACGTGAGCATAAACGAGACGCAGTATACAAGAAGTGTTTGTTTAGACGAGTTTTTACAGATCTGTCCGATTAGGCGAATGAACTAAGAGCAAATGTGCAGACGGACTCGGTGTAAAATGGCAGCGGGAAGAACGTGGGAGTTCGCGAGGCTGAGTGCTAAGAATAGACGTCGCGTGTCGTCATTGGTCCAAACGCGTGGCGATGCAGGGATGGCGATCTAAGCCTCAGCTACAGTACGCGTTTGGAGCCGCAATGTACCCACAGCCTTGCTGCTCCAGACCTTCACTAAATACTCGCTCGCTCGCAATTCGTAGCTGAAGCCCGCGAATCACTCGACCAAAGCTAGACACACGGCATGTCACCATGTTAGACGAGAACCTGCCCAGTAAGTTGCCTTGTTCATCCCCATCGTCAGAGGCTGAGCTAACTTGCTCCAGCGTTCTTCCTCAAGCCGTCTACAGACAAGCTCAAGCACCACGAGTCGTACTACTTCACGCAGAATGGCTCGGATCCCGATGCGCAATATGCGCTGCACCACATCGACCCCTCATCGAACGACGCGAAGAACACTTACGCCGTAGCCCTGTTCGACTCGTACCGACCCGACATCTTGTTCGGTGAAGTGCTAGCGAAGCCGGGCTGGACACACCCAACACTCTCCCAGGAGGAGATCCGCAAGAATGGCGGCGTACCTCCCCCACCACAGCCCATATATCCCACCGAATTCGCCATCCAGCTCTACAACCCGGACACGCAGGTGATCGTGAAGCAGCAGACAACGAAATGGAGCAGCACAATCAGCTGGGAGTTCAGCATACCGCAAATCACCTTCCGCATGCCGAGCAATTCAGACCTCGACCGGACACAGATCGATCCCAGCACCGACGTGAACACACCAAGAGTCAACTTTGCGTGGCGGAAGGAAGGCAGGATGGGCAAGGACTTGACGTGCTACATGACTGGCAAGTCGACGGACCTTACTGGAAAGAAGGCGAAGAAGAGCAAGGAGCCCGACATCGCCGTCGCACTGTTCTCGGGGCTGAGGGAGATGTCTATCATGGAGCCGAACCTATACCGCGTCGAGATTGAGGACTACAAGGGTCTGGAGGTGGCATTGCTGCTGAGTGCGGCTGTCATTCGCGATCTCTTCTTCGGAGATCCAAGGGAGCAGTTCCATGTCAGCGACGTTGCTGCCAGGAAGAATAGTGGTGGAGTGAGGACAAGGAAAGGCTCATCACCAGTACAGGGAGCACACATTACGCCACCCGTCATGACTCCACAACCTCCGCCACCTCCAGCATATACTGGCCCATCACAGTATCCACCTGAAAAGGTGCCTTTGCAGCCAGCGAGTGGAGCTGCGATGAACGCGCAAATGCAGCCTCCATCATACACCCCCAACAACAATGCTGCCAAGCGTTCCTCTCTTCCGCCGCTACAGACCGGCGCCCGCCCGGCACATGTCCAGCAACAAAGACCGCCACAGGGACGCACATTCGCTCAACACCAACAACAACGACAACAGCCGCAGCAACCGCAACGACCTCAACAACCACAGCAGCCGCCGAGGCCACAACAGCAACAAGCTCCCAGGCCCCAACAAGGCACCCAACAAGCACAACCAGGACCGCGTTTAGACCCCCGAGCGCAATGGGAGATTGACGCAGAGACCGCAAGGCTGAAAGCCCAAGTCGAAGCCGAAGAGCGCGAACAACAGCGCAAAGCTGAAGCCGAGAAGAAAGCCCGCAAAAGGCGCGAGCAAGAACAGGAGCGCCAGACACTGCAGTTCCTCGAGCAAGAAAAGAAGCAAAAGGAGCGCGAAGAGAAAGAGCGACGTCGCAAACAAGCAGAGGTCGATAAGGAGACTGAACGCCTGAAGAAGCAATTCGGCGACCAATCCACGCTACTACGTCCGGCACTGCAGAATCAGAATCGCCCACTCCACACCACTAATCCAAGGCCCGTGGACCCAGGGCCGACAACAACAGCAACGACCAGCACCTGTACCCACACAACCTCAGAATCCATACTTGGCGCCTGGAGGCCATCGGCCAACTGCGAGTCACAGCAGCTTCTTCACCAACGGATTGCCGAAGCCACAGGTGCAACCAAAGGCGAAGAAGAGTTTTTGGGGATTGAGGACGTCAAGCGAGACGACCGCGGAGAAGCTGAAGAAGAAGAAGAGTAGTATGTTTTAAGCATTTGGCACCTCACGATAGAGAAGGCATTTGGACAGGCGTTTGGGACTTGAGCATTGGAAATAGCGTATGATACCACATCTTATGATTTCGTTCCAAGTTTCATTTTCCTCTTCTCTCACCTCTTGTCAGCCGTGCCTGCGCTAAACTAGATCCGTCCTAGCATGTGAACTTTGGGGCATCTCGACCAGACCCTACTTTCACATCTCTACCACAACTCCACCTAGACCGACACTATCCAACAGATGATCGTATGTTTCCTGTAAATGAAGGTCCATATTCACTCACCTCGTCTATTTCTTCCGCACGCAGCGCGCCCAGGCCAGCGGCGTGGAATCCGCCAAGCCCGGAAACTTGCTCAATGAGCACGTTTCCCAGGGTCGCGTATGCAGGGCACCAGCGCCACAGTAGTGGTACCAACAAACAATCGTATACTTACAGTACTAGTCAAAGCTTGGTATTGACATGAAGGGAAGTTATTGGGTGGCGGAATTGCTTAGTGGCATGCAGGCATCGATTGCGCGCATGGGAAGGGGAGGTAGCATGGTAAAGACGGGAAGGTAAGAATATGAGTAAGAGTATAAAGAGACCAGCAAGGGACTGCGCAAGGTAGATCTTTACTCATCTCGCGCACCTCAAGCCTACTTGTTTATCCCGTAATAAACATGCTTTCCTCAACCCTCCTCCCCCTCCTGGCCCTCGCCAGCACCGCGACAGCGCATTTCCGCCTCCTCCAACCCCAATGGCGCGGCGACTCCTTCATCGCCCCGGCCTCGCAATACAACTACCCCTGCGCCGGCGTCAACGCTACGTCCAGCGATTCCACGAACCGCACCCAATGGCCGCTGACCGGCGGTAGCGTTGTCTTCAATGGCAGTCACCCATGGTCCTTCACATACGTCAACCTCGCCATCGGCACCAACGCATCAAGCTTCAACATCTCGCTGGTTCCAGGCTTCAACCAGACTGGTCCCGGCGTATTTTGCTTCAAAGAGACGGGCCGCGCGCATCTCGAAGAAGGGCTGAAGAAGGCTGGGTACAGTGGGTTGACGGATGAGAGGCTGAATGGGTTGGATGCTACTGTTCAGGTCATCCAATTGGGCGAGAGGGGAAGTGCTTTGTACAACGTAGGTCGCCCCCATCTGCCGTCTCGGTATTAACGTTGCTAATATTGAAATAGTGCGCGGATATCAAGTTCAACGCGAGCGCTCAGCTTCTCGCAGATGATCAGTGCAAGAATGGAACGGGCGTTAGTGGTGTTGCGATTGCAAATGTTGAGGGCGGTGCATCGCCTGCGGGATCTGCAGCGCCGTCTGCAAGTTCGGGGGCGGCGAGCAAGTTTGGACCGGTCGTTGGGAGCGGAGTTGTTGCGGCTGCGATGGCTTGGGGATTATGGTGAAAGATCGGTTGAAATCAACTGACGATGCTTATTGTAGCGCAAAGACAGCTAATAACATTGCATCAACCCTAACTCGATGCGCAAAACAAGTACGAACACGTTCGCGAATTCGGCATGCTCTTGGATTAGACGACATCATGTCGGTGCCGAGTGAAGATGCCGTCGGAAGTTCCGCTCAGGAAACGTTCTAGAATTTAATAAAGATGGAATTGTTCAGACAAACGTAGACGTCGCACATGTGAGGCGGCTCGAACATCCTTCGCCGGTCCTTCCGCTTTCATCACACCCCGCAACTCAGACTCAGACTCAGCCCACGATCCGTACTCCATATCTGCAAGATAAGCACATACTCTCGAATCTGGCGTTTCTTGGACAAGAGCTACGTCGCATTCGTGCGTGGAGTTGAGTTCCTGCCAGTCAAAGTGCTCAGTTGAGATTCTAGATTGTGACATCCTTGACTGTGCTCGCACAAAGCACACGTCTTCCGCATGATGCGGCTGTGACGAGCATGCGCATTGCCCATCACGTCAAATATATCAGGTTTTCGGCAACAGATAAAGCATTTGAAGAACATGATGGAGGTACACATAGCTTGCCAAAGTATGTAGAGGTACAAATCGTCGCAATGGACGGGATCTGGTTCTCAACTGCTCAGCACATATCAGAGCATACTTTACTTTCCTCTGTCGGTAACTCAGTCCGGGCAAACATTCCCTCAAGATGCTAGATTCAGTCGAAGGCTATCTCACATGTTGCTATCACGGTCTGTTGGGGTGGAAACGTAGTTCTCTTCTCTCTGAAATTAAATGCTAGAGTCGTTAGTACCGCTAGGGTGATTTTCAGTTAGCCTTCGGCCTTGAATAGAAAAAATTTACCTTAGCTACAAAATCGCTCAGAATGCTGCTGTTAACGCGTCCTTCGCGAAAGCTATAAAGGCACAGATCTTCCTTTTGCTGACAATATCTCGGTCCTTTACGGTCGCACCTCTAGTCCCTGTCTAAGACGCAGGTTGATAGTTGACATGTATACGTTAAAGATAGTAGACGCTGTAAGTATAGTAGTATTACGCTAGGAAATAATTAAGTTATTTTAGATAGAAAGTTGGTTAGATTGAGTAAGTAAACCTAGGCGCATGCAATAGAGCTGTGTAGTCTAGAGTTATTATTATGCTTAACTTAGCGCTAAAAATAGCAGACAGTAGTAAGTAGCTTGCAGCGTTTCGGGAACGGAGAACAGCTGTGCTCGGGGTCGGAAGACAGCTGTGCCGGGGCCGGAAGACAGCTGTGCCGGGGCCGGAGGCCAGCAGTGTCGGGGCCGGAAGGCGCTGACTCCGTGGGGCAATTTCCTGGTTTACCGCTATGATGGGACCGGCCAAGCCACCGTGTTAGGGCCGTCGCAGCAACATTCAGGACCAATAAATAGGCAAGGTCGGTATAAACATAAAAACTTTACTCTAAAATAAAGATTCGTGACGATCTTTTTCGTCAATCCGCACATACAATCTTCCCTTACTGCCTTTCCTCCTCATGAGTGCACGACCGTACTGTTTGCGCACCAACAGACTTTCACGTCCGCTTGGGATCGATGCGTTCCCCGTGGAATTTAGTTGGCAGCTGTCAGCAAAGCAAGGCATTTGTAATGTCACCCAATCTTCCTACGAACTTCAGGTTTCCACATCTTTATCCTTCGAATTCGAAAATATCGTTTGGGACAGCAGAAAAACTGCTACAAGCAAAAGTTCATCACTTACCGCCATCTATGCGGGAAATGTTATGAAAAGCCGCACTCGGTATTATTGGCGTCTCCGCGTATGGGACCAATTCGAAGATTCTAGCGATGACACTTGGGACACTGCCGAGCAAGCATGGTTCGAAACAGGATTGCTGCTGCCATCGGACTGGAAAGCGTCCTGGATTAGCACTCCTGAGACGACAACGACTGGGAGTTCAGCAAAAGATCACAGAGTCATATACCTCTCCAGCAGCTTACAGCTTGTGAAAAAACCAGTCCGTGGACGAGCTTACGCAACGGCTTGTGGATGGTACAAGCTCTTCATCAATGGAAACAATGTCACTGGTACGGCGTTGGTGCCACGCTGGACGCCATTTGACAAGTTCACTGAATACCAGACTTACGACATTGCGAAATATTTGAAGACTGGCGAGAATGTGATCAGTGTCGTTGTTGCCGATGGGCGCTTCAGAGGGCAGATAGGCGCCACCGAAGGGCGCTGTCGATACGGAGATCGGCTTTCTGCACTTATACAGCTCGAGGCGGATACAGATGATGGAAAAACTGTTACATTTTGTACAGACGAGACATGGAGGTCTCTAAAGGGTTCCATCGTTCGATCAGACCCCGTATGGGGCGAACATACTGACTTTCGAATCTCTGATGAATGGCTTGGAAAGTGCGATGCTTTGTCTTCTAACCTCGCCGAAAAGGTCCTAGTTTTGACGAAGAACCTCATCGCAGAAGAAGTCGAACGCGTCGAAGAAGTGATGCGCTTGCCACCTAAGACCATACTTCGTGCCCCGTCAGGGGCACAACTAGTCGACTTCGGCCAAAACTTTGCGGGAATTATGGTAATCAAGCTCCGCGGCCGGTCGGGTTCCAAAATTGCCATAACATACAGCGAAGTCCTGTCGAGCGACGGAGAGCTCGATGTCAATTACTTGAAACTTCCCATAATTCCACATATCGTACAACGGGACATCGTAACCCTCGGAGAGAATGTAGCTGAATTTCAGCCTTGGTTCACCATCCATGGATTTCGCTACGCCGAAGTTCAAGGCTTGGACTACGAACTTAGTCCCTCTGATGTCCAAGGAGTCGTCCTGGCTTCCAACTTCCCAATCACAGGATCTTTCACCTGCTCAGACGCTCACCTTAATAAGCTCTATCATAATATTGTTTGGGGTGCCCGCAGCAATTTCACCGACACACCAACTGACTGTCCGACTCGAGAGCGAATGGGTTGGACTGGAGACATTCAAGTATTTTCTTCTACTGCGACCATGCTATTCGACAGTCAGAATTTCCTGCGTCGGTACTTGCGTTGTCTGGCTGCGGAGCAACTTGCCGACGGTACTATCCCACCATACATCCCCAGCGGTGCATCACAGTTCAGTAGTCAGCTATCGTTGATGACAAGGATGACCTCGGAATCAACTGGGTGGGGCGATGCTTCTACAATGGTGCCTTGGGCTCTGTATTGGCACTACAATGACGAAGTAGTCCTCTTACGACAGTACGATAGCATGAAGAGGTGGGTGAATAGCTTGACACGTCGAGCACGAGAGAAGATGAGCTGGAGAAGATGGCTCTTCACCAAAGTCGGTTCTGGATGTGGCGACCTCGAGCGGTACATCTTGGATACTGGTTTTAGCTATGGTGAATGGCTTCGGGCTGGAAGCGGGATTCTCACAATGATCAAAGATGTCTTGTTCCCTAGCGCCGCTGTTTCTACCGCATACTTGGCCCACTCAACTCGTCTCCTCTCCAACATCGCCAATATCCTTGGCAAACAGGAAGACGCAGAACATTATCTTGCACTTTCGAGAAGAACATCTGAAGCGTGGCGCACTGCTTTCGTCCGACAACGCGGTGCCCGCATCGCAGAAGACTACCAAGACGATTACGTCCGCGCCCTCGCCTTCAACCTCATCGAGCCAGAACAAAAACCAGCAGCGTTAGAACGCCTTGTAGAACTCATAGCTCAAGCTGGCTACCATCTGAAAACTGGCTTCATGAGCACTGGTCTGCTGCTCCCTGTACTTGCTGAATACGGCAGGGCAGACATCGCATACCGTCTCCTGATGCAAGACACAATGCCATCGTGGCTGTATCTTGTCCAAAAGGACGCAACGACTCTCTGGGAGACCTGGGAAGGATATGACGGCAAAGGCAAAGCGAAGATGTCGCATAATCACTATGCGTTTGGCACTGTGGCACAATGGTTGCAGGAGAGCGTGGCGGGTTTGAAGGCAGTCGAGCCAGGGTACAGGAAGATCAGGATAGAGCCTTTAGTTGGAGGCGGATTAACGCACGCTGAGGCTTCTTTGGAAACGCCATTGGGCTTCGCAAAGAGTGCCTGGAGTTTGGATAAAGAGGTAGGAATAGTGAGGCTTGAGGTTGTGATTCCGCCATGTGCTACAGCTGAAGTGGTGTTGCCAGGCCGCAAGGTTGAAACTTTAGGATCTGGCAACTATTCATTTGAATATAGGATAGGTTTATAATTGTAATAAATGGCTGCTTGCGTCTAATGCTGCTAATAGACTAGTTTCTCTACCTGTTGAAATGAAAATTGTAACGATATTCCCTAGCATATGATGCATTTTGGTGTCGGCCCCCGAAACTTCCCATTCTAGCAATCGTGTACCCTGCCCCGAAAACATCCAAGAGGTGGCGACGAATCGGGCCTGATTCGTACCGAGATAGGTATAGCGCTAGGGTATCTCCAACCCGAAACGGCAATCCTAGGATCTAATTCGTAGGCTAGGTTTTTTTGTACCTTACTACAATTTATGTATCAGATAATACGTAGTAAGATATTAGGGATAAGAAACAAGTTAATTCTAAGCCTTAGAGTATAAGCCTTCTACTAATCTAAAGCATAGGCTAACGTATTCTACTACTAAGCTAGTTAACCTACTAAGCTAGTTAGTTTCTGCTAAGACTCTTTACTAACCTATTAATATAATATATCTTAATAATATAATGCGTAATTAACTAATTAAGAAGGCAGAATCTAGCTTGCTCTATCTGCCTATAACGCCTAATAATTCTAAAGTCTATAACACGCTGCTAAGGCATTTAATATCTCTTCTTTAACCTTAACTTATTAATATAAGAGAATTATATATTACCTAGAAACTATCTCTAACTGCTAGAAACTTACTACTACTAAAGAGTAGACAATTATCTAATATATACTTAACTTTAATTTATAAGAATTTGCGCTCTAGCTATGTAAGGTAGCAGATATAGCTAATAAGCTACTAAGTATAAGAGATAGTAAGCTTATTAGTAAGTACTAAGCTAAGCGCTTTATAACGCGTTTATCTAAGCTTAAGATAGCCTTTAATTAAGCTAAGAATAAGCAGAGAATACTCTAGAAAGACCTAGAGATTATTAGCGCATAGTTTAAGCTTATAAAAGAGACTATAGCTAAGTATAGCGATCTACTAAGATAATATGCATAACTTTAATAAGACTAGCTTTTAGATAAGTATAATTAGCTCTATAAAAGTTATTATAAGCATAGAGAGATACGCTTAATCTAAGCTTATTTAGCTAAGTAATTATAAGTAAGTTATAGTAATCTAGAGTATCTACGCTGCTAGATATATAACTCTACTTTTTATTATCTATAAGAGATATATCTATATCTTAGCATAGTATAAGAAAGCTTTAATACTACGTAATTAGAAGCTATTAGTTTCTAAGAATAGCTAAATAAATAATATACTTAGTCTAGAGTAGTTAAAGCATTTTAACGCATATATAAAAGTATATTAGATAGAGAAGTATAAGCTACTTATCTTAGATAGCTATAAGAGCTACTTTAACTAGAATTTTAAGAACTACTATATTAAGAATAAGATTCTAACTCTCTATATGCTAGCTTATTTATTATACGTTCTCTAGCTACTTAATATAGTCTATTTTTTACTATTAAAGCATAAGTACTCTAAATATATCTAGAACTTAGTATAGAAATATATCTTCTATATTAATAAAGAAGGCTTTCTTTCTATCTTTAAAGATACGTTTTTTAATATATTTATAAAAGAGAACTATTAAAAAGCCTTTAAAGCTTTAGAACTTATTCTTATTAATGCATAGATAGTATTAGATTACCTTAAAGTACGCCTATATACTCTGCTAGAACCTCTTCTCTTAGTAACTCTATAGCAGTTAAAGACTCTAAATAATACTTATAAGTTTAGATCTTAGTTAAAGCTAGTACGTAATATCTTACTTTAGTTACTTATTATAGCTTAGGCTAGCTTCTTCTAGCTTATAAAAAATAGTAAGCTAATACTATATAAAAATACTCTTTAATATGCTTAGATATATAAGCTTAAAGAGCAATTAGTAAAGATAACTAAGCAGAAATTATAGAAGCATAAGCAGATTTAGTAGAGTAGTACTATAGAGTATAGTAAGGCAGTAACGTAAGTAGCTATAGAGGCGTCTATAGCTACTAGGCAGTTAAAGAGAAGTTATAGTAGAGATAATTAAGAAAGAGCTTAACTAGCTATATAGCGCTATAGAAACTATAGTAAAACTAGGTATAATGCGTAAACGTGCAAAAAGAATATAGAAGTATCTTCTAAATTAGATATAAGCATATTATATATAGGCTCTCTTATAGATAGCAATAAAATTAAAGATACATAACTAAAGTTCATTATGCTAAGCTTTTTTAACTAGCTTAGTGAGTTAACTAGCTTAGTGGTAGAATACGTTATAGAATAGAGATAAAGGTTAATTCCTCGTAGAATTATATCAGGGTTTCTTATAGAACAAGCCCGATTTTGGCCTTTGTTCCGTCGCCAATTAAGGATAGGATTCTGCAGCAGAATCTTAATTTCTAATATACTTGGGTAGACCTTTGCATTCGCAGCTATGTAGGTTGAGTACTCATTGCTACGACTTCGTACCAGTTGCTCTTTTTCATCGCTGTACCTCTTCAAGCCGCAGGCCCCGCTGTCCGAACTCTCCTCCCGGGGGTAGTCCACGCGCAGTCTGTGTAGACCCCATTCTGCGTCACGATGTCGGTCATCGCGAGTGCCGCAGTTGGCGTGTACTCGTCTTGCAAGATAGTCTCGCTTTCATAACAGCCGTACGGTCGGCAGTACTCATTCGCGCGCACGGTAGCCAGGTCAACCACGGAGAAGTAACCAGCCGAGGCGCGCCAAGTGCAGTAGCGACCTTTGCCCGAACCAGCGCAGCTATGCGATATGGTCACGATATCCCCTTCCAGCTGTCTGACGGTCAGGAGAGATGCTGTTGTAGATGGCGCAAAGACGTCATCCCCAAGACTTTCTGGGTCGCCAATGAATGATGCACAGCCGATGAACGTTTGTAGCGCGGCGTTGCGAACGAAATTGTAAACACTGGGACTGGTTAGGATAAATCCTGATACTATAGCGGTCACGGGCTGCGCAGTTCTCGTGGGTGTCGCGGTGATAGTAGTCTCATTGACACTGCACAGCGCAGAGTTGGTTGGGAGAGCTGAGGGCCAATACGAAGCTTCCCATGAGCCGCCTTCGAGGTAACATCTTGGGGTTGCGTCAGGAGCGGGTGCGTTGAGAACACTACAACCTGGTGCGAGTATCGATCCTGTTTGCATCGGGACCTGCGATTGCAAATGTGTGACGCGCCAACTGTAGGCATCTTTGAGTTGGCTGCACACTGGTCCGAAATCAATTGCCGAGTACAGGTCGGGGACGGCAATTGATCAAGCTCAGTTGACCAGGTGGGATAAAAGAAGTAGTCGGTTCCTGCAAAGTCCCATGTGTATGTCTCTTCCCTGGTCTGGCAAGTGAAAGACAGCGTTGATGCGGCGTGGGTAGCAGTCACATAATGTGATCAAAGTGGGAAGGGCCTTCGTGCTGCAGTTGTAGTATGAGTTCATATAAGTGGACAGGGAAACGTAGCCTGGAGGATATGCGCTGTAGCTGACAGCGACGGCATCCCAGATCTGTTTCGAGAGGAAGCTGCTGGACGTGCTGTAATTTGCATGCGCATCCCAGCAGTTCAAGGCGCTAGCAGGAATGTGAGAGAACTCGGACAGCAAGGCTGGTATATGAGCGGTCGGGAACTGGCGCATGCGTTGGCGGAAGCGTGATGCCAGGGGGTAGAGCGGACGTCGCATTGGCTTTTGTGGTGCTTGGTGTGGTCTCTTTACGATACCATAGTCAGACACTGTCGCAACCCAAATACCTTGATGAAGAAGGCTTACGTGCATATCCGCCCACGATGATCGCAGTGATAATCACATACGGACTTCGGGCTCGAATTCTCATAGCGTCGTGATGAATGAGGAGTCCAACAATCATGGCATTGCGAAGGTTTATATTTATGTATTCGACGCAACACAGCTTGCCTTCGCTGATACGGTCGACGCGAACATGCTGCCGCAAGACTTTGCGACCGAGAGAGGGTAAATAATCCGATCGGTCTTCTGAACGTCGGAGCCAGTTTAAGTTACGAGAACTTCAATCAAATTGTTGGTGCGTCAGATATTGTCATTGCATATGGTAGATGAACACTCGCTTTGGGGGCCGAGCGGGGTAGCATAAAATGGCTGCGTGCTCACTCGATGAAGAAGGAGCATCTCCTACATTAGCAACGCGACGGCGCAATTCAGTCAGCAAGATAGCACTGCGTTCATCGGTGATGCATGGTTCAGAGATTCCCGTAAGAACGTTCGCGAAGAACATCATCGACGAAGTAAGAATTGCGGAATCGAATATGCAGACAGGAATATGTACAAACACCGCCAAGGGAATCTTCGCCCTTCCTGTATCTAACTTATGTGCGAGTACCGATCTATACTTTCTAGCACACCATCAATTGGGCACGCACGAACCAGTCGCACAGTCGCAGTGAGCGTTCTTCTCGGCGCAGTTTTTCCCCTTTGAACCAAATGTTTCCGAGCCTGAGGCCATATCTGCATTCCATCTGGGAGTCGAACGTCAGCAAAGAACTGCTATCGGTCTTGTTTGGTGATAGCTTACCACATGTCCGCCGTTGTGCTCACAGCCTCTCTGACCTATAAAAGCGCAAGACTCATGTTTCTTTGCATGGCACTCGGCCCTGGGCTTGAGTGTCGCGGCGGATGCGGCGCTAATGAGGATGAGAATGGTAGCGAAGCTCTTCATATTGACCTTAGAGAATTGAAAGTTCTGTAGGAGGATTGAAGTAGATGTAAGTTTGTATGCGAGATCTTGAGAGGCGTGGGTGGAACGGCAGTAGATCGATGTGAAGACGGGTTGATTTGTTGGTAATGTTGAAGCAGAGAGAAGATTTGGGACTTCTTATACCTTCGAGCGGATCATCTCAGATGGTATCTCTGAATGTTACGCCGATGATGTCTGACTATTGCCGGCTTGAACAACCTCGATTTTGCCGAAGTCGCAGCCTTGCGAAGGTAGATACAGCCTCGCGAAAGCGGGTATGCCCTGAACATCAGCGGGCTCTAGCCTCGCAGAGGAACTCCACCATGACCGTTTCTCGACACACGCAATCAACGATGTGGGCCTATTTCCCGGTCTTTTTGTCATATTTGGATCGTCCATCCTTGAGCGTTGTCGCTATGTTTGGTCGTGGGGGCGGGTTGCAAGCGGGGCGTTGGGCAGTTCGGGGCGTAAGTGTGGGACGGTTGGGGCGTAAGTGTGGGACGGTTGGGGCGCAGCACAAAGCCTTGAATTGGTACCACTTACGATTCATCAGGAGGGGGGTGCTTCGCCATAGAATTTTTAGTAGAGCATCTTAATAATGCGTTACTAATAAGCGCAGTGTTATATGCTGACTTAATATGCCCGCAATTATTAACAAGATGCTCTTTCTATTAAGTAAGCACGTAGCGATTTTCTACTAGAACGCTATGCTCTAAAGCTAGCATTTATTTACTATATATATTAATAATATCTAATATACTAGTATGATACTCTAATATTTTAATAATGTTAAGCTAACTTTAAAATACTAACGTATTCTATTATTAAGCTAGCTATATTATTAAGCTAGCTACTTTTTTCTTAGTACTATAATATTATATCTCTTTTAACTCTTCTATCTAAGAATCTATTAGCTCTGCCTAGCCTTAGATTACGTAAGAACTAGAATATATTCTCTTTATAATATATTTCTAAGGTCTTTGAGAATGTATCCTACTTTAATACTACCTAAGATACTTATCTTA